TGTTCCTCGAGGTGTTGTGTACACTCTATTATGACACACACACACACACACACACACACACACACACACACACACACACACACACACACACACACACACACACACAGCACAGCCTCCATCAACCAAGAGAGATAACTAATTTGGGGGAGTCTTAAAGGCTCAGAGGTCAACCAACATTTTGGATTTCATTAATAATTTGTTCTGGAAAAAACTTGATAAACACGGCAGCAAGACGAGGAAGATTAAGTAACAAGAGTCAACAAGCTGCCACCGTACGATGCACCCAAGTAAAAAGAGTGTAGATTGTGTAGAGAGTGTAGTGAGTGTAGTGAGAGTGTAGTGAGAGTGTAGTGAGAGTGTAGTGAGTGTAGTGAAAGTCAATTTTTCCGTTGTTGATTAAGTGTAAATATATCTCCTCTAATTTGTATGTTATGTATTGTGTAGAATTTTTTTTTAATCATCCTTAATCCTTGTGTGTCTGGGTCAATTCACAGAGTAACACAGACTTATATAGAGCTGGTGACACAGTTAAAGCGAATTACTTGAGGGAGAGGGGTCAATGAAGAGGTTTTCCAAGAGGCATTAAACTGAAAGAAGAGCCTCGTGTTGTGTGTGTATGTGTGTGTGTGTGTGTGTGTGTGTGTGTGTATATATGTGATTGTTTTATAGAATATTTGCTTCCAACCTGCCACCAAGATCCTTCATCTAGGCCCCAGTATCCTTTTACAGGTTGAAAGTATCCTATTCTCCCAGGATGCACACCAAGAGAGAGAGAGTATTCAAACTCCAGCACCTCTTGTCATTAAAATCTCTTCTAAACATCTTTCTTTGCCTTTTTTTATCAGTAATTATTTTTTTTATCGTCCTAAAGCCCGATGAGTCTCTTAAGGTGAAAAATGAGTGTTTTTTTTCCTCTCAATTTTCTCAGTGGAGTTTTGGTCAGCTGGAAGTGACTCGTAGGTTTTGTTTCTGACTCTACCAATCACGACAGTCTGTGAGGGTGAGAGAGTCAGGGTGAGAGAGAGGAGTCAGGAGGAGAAAGAGACTCAGGTGAAAGAGAGGAGTCAGGGTGAGAGAGAGAGAGTCGGGGTGAAAGAGAGACAGTCAGGGGGAAAGAGAGAGAGAGAGAGTCAGGGTGAAAGAGAGAGAGAGTCAGGGTGAGAGAGAAGTCAGGGTGGGAGAGTCAGGGTGAGAGAGAGTCGGGGTGAGAGGGAGAGAGTCAGGGAGAGAGAGAAAGAGTCAGGGTGAAAGAGAGAGTGTCAGGTCAGAGAAGGAAGGAGACAGTTAATAATAAGAAAGACAGGAATTGTAAAAACAGACGAAGATAAACTAGAGTGAAGAGAGAGACAGAAGGAGGTGATGAAATGGGGGTGAAGAGGAGGAAGAGGAGCAGGAGGAGGAAGAGGAGGAGGAAGAGAAGGAGGAGATAGGAAGACTAAAGTGGGTAGGAGAATGTGTGTATCAAAGTAAATAATATTAGCTTAGTTATGGTGTAGAATCCTTCGTCAATTCCGGATACTCAGAGGGCTATTGGTCAGTGTACCTCCCTCCCTCCCTCAACTCCCTACCTCCCTCCTCTCTCCCCCTTCCTCCTCCATTCCCCCCTCTCTCCCTCCCTCCCTCCCACAGTCAACTTGGCCCGAGGGCAGCCGAGCGGGATGCTTATAACGAAGGACTCAGCGGTAGAAGAACGCCTGGACGAGTGAACGTGACGTGTATGAGGAAGCAACACGACAGACTGACTTACTGCTGGGGAAGTCCTCGCTGGCCACTGGGGAGGACTTACACACACACACACACACACACACACACACACACACACACACACACACACACACACACACACACACACACACACACACACACACACACAGAAACTAATCCTTAATACATATTCCATGATCAACATACCCGCTATATTTCCCTTCGAGAGCATATATTAACCGAATGATAAATTACTACAGTATCATTTATTAACAGGTAAATTCACAACACCTGGAGCTTCGCGCATTAGGGACTGAATTATAACATAGAAATAATTTAAATAATGATAATGTTACCTGAAGACCTGGTAAAAAGTTGTGCGGAATAGATTAATTGAATGTAGAAATAATCCGGAAAGTAATTAAAAATGATCTCCTTGTCCCTCCTCTTCCTCCTCCTCCTCCCTATTCCATTTCTACTTCTCCTTTTCCTATTTCTCCTCCTCTTATTCTACCTCTTCCCGCTCCTCCAATTCTTCTTCCTCTTTCCCCCCCTCCTCTTCCTCCTCTTTTTCCTCCTTCTATTCTTTCTTCTATTCCTCCTCATTTTCCTCATTTTCCTTCCTTCTCCCATTTTTTCTCCTCCTCTTCCGCCTATTCTTCCTCTTCCTCATCTTGTCAAGTTCCATTCTCATTATCATCTCTCTCTCTCTCTTCCTCTCTCTCTCTCTCTCTCTCTCTCTCTCTCTCTCCTACTGTCATGTTCTTTTCCCTGTAATCTTTCTCTCAGTGTCCGTCTGGTGAAGTAATTGAGCAGTGTTCTAGCGTCACACACACACACACACACACACACACACGCACACACACACACACACACACACACACACACACACACACACACACACACACACACACACACATATGGTTATGACTTAAATACAGATATACAGACTAAAATAGACATGCATGAATACTCTATACACATAAAGACACTCTATGACTGACAGACAGACAGACAGACAGACAGACAGACAGACAGACAGACAGACAGACACAGCCTCAATTTTAAGCCATGTGTAAATGTTCTATTCTTACGTAAATTTCATTATAAACTATTGCCACAAAAATTATTCTGCTGAGTATAGTTAATTATTCTGGTAAATGGCTCTTATTCTTAGCTCCTAGCAATACATTGTCCTCGTTCTCAGCTCCTAGCAAGACAGTGTCCCCGTTCTCAGCTCCTAGCAAGACATTGTCCTCGTTCTCAGCTCTAGCAAGACAGTGTCCCCATTCTCAGCTCCTAGCAAGACATTGTCCCCGTTCTCAGCTCCTAGCAAGACAGTGTCCCCGTTCTCAGCTCCTAGCAAGACAGTGTCCCCGTTCTCAGCTCCAGAGACATTGTCCTCGTTCAGCTCCTAGCAAGACAGTGTCCCCCGTTCTCAGCTCCTAGCAAGACAGTGTCCCGTTCTCAGCTCCTTAAGACAGTGTCCCCCGTTCTCAGCTCAGAGCAAGACACAATATTGTTATTCTACTGTAAACATCTAGTAAAACAATACACTAATTATATATTCCTCCCAGCAAGACAATAATAGTTCTCAGCTCTCAGCAAGAACAATAATTCCTGGGTCGTTTATGTGACAACAGACTCACACACACACAGGTCGTCTTACAGGCCACGACAACACTCTCTCTCTTCTCTTGAATTCTCTCCCTATCATCACGTTCCTTGTTTTTCCTCTTTACTCTCTCTCTCATTCCTTTCTTTATTTTCTATCTTCGAATTTTTTTCTTCTTCTTCTTCCATCTTCTTTTTTCTTTAAGTTTCTTTATCGTCTTTGTTTTCCCCACCTTTTCGTACCCTGGGTTTACGCACTAACTCCAGCCAGGCCCTCTTAACGTGATAGACTGTTCATTTATCTTTTAATCTAAGGTCTCATAGCGCTTTGATACTGGGAGAGGGAGGGAAGGAAGGTAGGAAGATGGAAAGGAGGGAGGGAGGGAGGAGGGAAAGAGGTAGGGAAGGAAGGAAACAGGGAAGAAAGGTAGGAAGGAAGGGAGGGAGGAAGGAAGGACGGAAGGAAGGAGGATGGGATTTCTCTCTCTCTCTCTCTCTCTTCGCCTTCCTTTATTGCATTCCCCAACAACATTGATTTTTTCCCCGTCCCACAGATGTCAACAAGCGATGACGTTAACTCCCACACGTGTCAGGGATCACAAAACAGTTTCCAGAAGTTTCTCGTAATGGTGAGACGCGTGAGGGGGAGGGAAAAGGGGGGGAGGGATGGAGAGAAAAGTTTATGTAGAAGGGGTGAAAATGCATGGGTGAGGAGAGGAGGAGGAGAATAGCTGAGCAAGTGAGTCAGAGTTATGATAAAGGAAGATGGTAAAGGTTAAACTCTCTCCCTCTTCCCTCTTTTCCTCCTCCCTCTTTTCCTCCCTCCTCTCTCTCTCTCTCTCCCTCCCTCTTTCTCTCCTCGCTGAATCAAAATCGTTCTGTTACTATGAAATAAAAGATGAATGGTGAGTCTATCAACTTAAGTGGTTGTGTCATCCAGGGTGTCATGTGTGAGGCTGGAACAATGTGTCAGCTGGGGTGTCATGTGTCAGCTGGGGTGGTATGTGTCAGCTGGGGTGGTATGTGTCAGCTGGGGTGGTATGTGTCAGCTGGGGTGGTATGTGTCAGCTGGGGATATTGCCTCGTACTGCCCAGGGGAAGAGAATCAATTATATTTACAGGAGTGACAACTATTTTATATAAAGTAAGAGTTAAACCTAATACTAATGTTGTATGATGATGATGATGATGATGATGATGATGATGATGATGATGATGATGATGATGGTGTTTAAGATATATTATGAGTTTTTGTTATAGTAGCATTAAAGTAAACCATAATGGAAGCATCTCAGTTATGCATGACAGGTCTAACACAAAGGTCTATTGATGTCTGGCTGTCTGGTATTATTAAAAAATATCATCTCATAACACTGGAACACACAGAGAGTTTGAGATTTGGTAGGATGTTTATAACTGAAAGAAGACCATTGACAGTAAATATGAACAAAAGATGGTGGAAGCATAAAGCTGTGAGAACCCCGATACTGAGAAGAGAGAGAGAGAGAGAGAGAGAGAGAGAGAGAAGAGAGAGAGAGAGAGAGTGCGTGTGAAGGGGATAGACAGACAGACAGACAGGTCAGACAGACAGACAGGTCAGACAGTACGGAGGTCAAAATACTTCCAAGAGTTTATCCACGAGAATTAAAACAATAAAAAACCACCAAAACAGTGAGATATGCTCAAGGTTTTTCTGCTTCAGTTTTCTTAATAAAAGTTTTATCATTGGTAAATGTTGCCACACAAACTTCTGGAAGACACTTAGTTGGCCGGGTATTTTTCTTGGGTGGGGCCGGAGTCAGCTGGACGATGAAGTGTGGGGGGAACCTGAAGTGTGGGACCATAGTGTGGGGTGGGGACCTGAAGTTGGGAGGAGTGTAGTGTGGGGGAACCTGAAGTGTGGGACCATAGTGTGGGGGGGACCTTAAGTGTGGGACCATAGTGTGAGAGAACCTGAAGTGTTGGACCATAGTGTGGGGTGGGACCTGAAGTGTGGGACCATAGTGTGGGGGGACCTGAAGTGTGGGACCATGGTGTGGGGGGACCTGAAGTGTGGGACCATAGTGTGGGGTGGGACCTGAAGTGTGGGACCATGGTGTGGGGGGACCTGGAAGTGTGGGACCATGGTGTGGGGGACCTGAAGTGTGGGACCATAGTGTGGGGAGAGAACCTGAAGTGTTGGACCATAGTGTGGGGTGGGACCTGAAGTGTGGGACCATAGTGTGGGGGGACCTGAAGTGTGGGACCATAATGTATAGTATAGGTTCCCCCTGAAGTGTGGTAGGGGAGGGAGGGAAGGGGAGGGGTAGACACTGCTGTAGGACCCCCCTCAGCCCCCTCCCAGGTAAGGAGCACCCAGCACCCTACCCAACACACCGGCACATCAGTCAGCATCACACACAGTAAGGCAGGCGAGTCATAGTGAATGCCACCTGGTGTAAAATATTAGACGTGGTACATTGAGCAGTGGTACATAATGACTGTGATTGGTAGTTCCCGTGTACACAAGAGAGAGAGAGAGGGAGAGAGAGAGAGAGAGAGCAATCACACATCACCTCACAACTCTTCTACGCCTCGGCCCCCCCTCCCCCCACCCACCCCCATGACCCCTCCGCCCCAGAGGAAATACGCAATAAAAAATTTGCATGATAAGCGTACATAAAAATTCTTATTCGGAGGACAACTTATGAGAAATGAGGGGAAGAAAGTTTGTTCTCTTATAGTGAAAACAATCAGAGGGACAGTTCCCCACCTTGGTATGTGTGTTTTTCCCGTTTTGTTAATTTTTCCTCATTTTTTTCTCTCAGTGTTATGGTCACTTTTTCTTTATTTTCATTGAAGATCTATTTTTTATTATTTTTCCGGGGTGAATTTTCCTATTTTTTTCCATTATTTTTTCTTTTTCTTCCCTGCTGTGTTTTTTCCCCAATTCTGTTCATTTTTTCCCTCTTCGCTGATGTGACTTGGGGTAATTTTCTGAGTGTTATGGCCAATTGTTCCTTTATTTTCGTTGATTCAGTCTGTTTTTTTATCATCTCTCTCTCTCTCTCTCTCTCTCTCTCTCTCTCTCTCTCTCTCTCTCTCTCTCTCTCCCTGTCTTGCCACCACCAAAAACAATCAGTGGACATTTTTCTTGGGTCTCCGTCCTACCTGAGACACTTCCAATTACCTTCACCTAAAGATAGACGGAGAAGAATACAACCACATGTACGTTCCTTCTATACAGTCACCCTCCCTACGCACATGTGTAGTGAGCTCAGATACACATGTGGGGGTGTGGGCGTGAGCTAAGACGTACATGTGTGTGTGTGTATGGCGAAAAGTTAGGACACATATGTTTGCCTTAGTAAACTGTGTGTGTGAGAGAGAGAGAGAGAGAGAGAGACACAGAGAGAGATAATATAAGCGAGACAACAAAAAGAACGAGAAGAACAAGACGAAGAAGAAAACGAGAAAAGGTGTAATAATAATAATAATAATAATAATATCAAACTTCATTTTGGAAAATTTTAAAATCGGCAGCAAAACGCCAAGAAAAACTGTCCTCAACTCACAGGGAATCAACAGCAAGATCATGACTACCCTCTGAAGCAAACCACAACAATCGATAAAACAGATTCACATCTCTAGAATTGAAACAACAGGATATAAATTAGGTCACTGCCTAACACAATCAAAATGGCATGTAGTTTTCCATACAGCCATTTTTCCACCACTTTTTTAATTTTTTTTTATTCATCAACTTTCATTTCCTTGTCTCTTTATAAATATCTAATCCTTTATCATTATAATTTTCACCAGTGGCGTTAAACCCCAATTCACTAAGTGTGTTCGGTGATGGGAAGGAAAATCAGGTGTAATTTTAACTCTAACTGGATGATCATACAGCCATTTGCAGTCAAGTTTATCTACGTGACATAATGATATCATTCATATACCTAGATCATGGTTGGGAGGGAGGGAGGGAGACAGGAGGCCACCAAGCTTAGGGGGCCGAGGGGGTTGGGTGTTGGGGTAATCCTGTGACACGATCAAAATAAACCAGCCATGATCCTCCACCACAACACTATTGAAAGCTATATACTGACTGGTTTACACACACACACACCCACACACACACACACACAACGCGGTGAGTGTGTGTATGCATGTATGTATGAATATATATAAGCGAATACTGTACACAGGGGTGTACACAGACATTTTATACAGGGGGACACAGTGAGTCCATTCATTTTTTTTTTTTATCTTTCAACGCCAGACACGACAACACCGTCCACAAAATCGCCGAGTTTTTGCATTGATCAATAAGGCATTTACCCCCACCCAAAACACGAAACAAAACGAAACAGTGATCGACTACCCTAGAGCGCATGGACAGCAAACGTTCTTATAAATATCTTAGTGAAGCCCCCCAAAAATTTGCGAGAATCTGGTATAAGTCCAGAATTCAGAGTAAAATATCTGAATGCCTCACCCAGTCGGACCTGCAGCTCTCACAACACATGCAATCAACTCCAAATACACATCTATACAGCCGACCATGAATACCAGAGCTGCCACGTACCACTGTCGGAGATGGCTCAGTGCTTCACGTATTTGGATGATGATTTTACTGCTCAAAGTGGACCCGTACTGAGATAAGACCACAGCAACGTATTTTGTGAAGGTTTCGGGGGTGTATATGTGTGTGTGTGTGTGTGTGTGTGTGTGTGTGTGTGTGTGTGTGTGTGTGTGTGTACAGCAGCAGGGAGGTAAAGGAAGTAGTGGGGTTAAGTAAAAACATTAATATTTACCTTCAGAAAGAGACGATTTAGAGAATAAACAACATAATCACTTAATAAACAATACAGGAAATAATTAAGAGTCATTACACTATCTGGTTATGAGCTGTAAGTTATGGCCGATATTAATTACAAGAATAAAAACAACCAAGATTAATATTTACAGTGAGGGTCCAGTGTGGTAGTGAATGTGTGTGTTGTGAAATAGAAACCCATTATACCTGAGGTCCTGTTAGGGGTAAGGTGGATACAGCACATGGAGACAACGTAGCCAGCATTGTACACTATTGTATTCCCCTTCCTCAACAGTAAAGTAAGGTGGTACTCAATACTCAGGTGGGTCGACTAGGGGCGCCCCGGAATTCAATTTATTTTGGCTAGTGGTAGGTGTAGGCCACAGTTCAGTGTAACAACATTGACGGCCTGAGCACGCATGACGGCGATTGATCCTAGTTCGCAGGGCCTGTAAGCCGCAGTGAACGTCAAGGAATAAAATTAAATCTAATTTCGTTAGGTTAGGTTAGGTTAGGTTAGGTTAGGTTAGGTTAGGTTAGGTTAGGTTAGGTTACGTCTGATGTATTTGATTCTTCTCTCATATATTATTATATTATATACAGGCTGTGTTTACTCGGCTGTAGCGATATAAGGATGAGAGCTGGACTCAGTCGGCCACAGCAGCCTAAGTGTTGCCTGGGAGAGTCGGTGAGGAATGAAGTGAAAGTTAGTCTTATCTGGATATTTCTCCCTCTTAACCCCGTGGGCACGAGACACAGTTACCAGACAAACGGACATCGTGTGAATAGTTACAGGTCTTCACCCTCACCTCCATGTCTACACTCTACACTGTTTACATAATCTCTAAATTTGACGTGACGTTATCTGAACAGCGTGTCCATGTTTTAGTAAAGGAAGCATTACACCTTCGTCTCTGTAAAACAAAAAACTGATAATAGGAAAATTATGGAGACACGTTAATGTGCCCGGCATCCAAAACATCTTTCATAGTGGCCTGAAAGTCGATTGAGGACCAACAAATGTGATGTACAGTCAGAGGCTTCCATGTTTTGTTGACCTTTAGTTAACTCCTACGCCGTGGTAAGTGCAGTCGAGGTCCAACATTTCCTGTTTATTTCACCTAACCATCATAACTTTTATAATTTACTCGTATGTCTTAAGTAATATTAGAATTAAATCCTTTATGTATGTTTGTATACTATATAAACTATCATTGAAATATCTTATATAAGTAATTAGTGATCAAATATAATCTTGTTAGTGATATTCAGTTCGACCTGTTCCATAAACAAACCTCACCTTACCTCTGTCGTCACGTGTAACCCTCACTATAACCAGCAGGGCTCGGGGGGGGGGGGGAGGGGGAGGGGGTAAAAAGTTAAAGTAGGTGTAAGTTTCTCTAAAAGATTCAAAACCGCGAAAAACTATCACCTTTACTCATTAAAAGTCCCAACACTCCGGGGGTGGGGATTTTTTCCTCCCCTTAAGAGGATCTGGGGGAAAAATAGTCATCGTTAACTCTGGATTGGGTTAGGTGAACGATGCATCCCAGATCAAAACAGATATTAACCACTGACTTTATGGTAATAACCCCTCGTGGCAGGTATCCTCACTACTACCTAACTTAACCTAACATAACATAACCTAACCTAACCTAACCTAACCTAACCTAACCTAACCTAACTTAACCTAACATAACATAACCTAACATAACCTAAACAAAAATAAAGACATTCATACAAAGAAACAATAACAACAAACAACACGCACCTAAACACACACACACACACACACACACACACACACACACACCACACACACACACACACACACACACACACACACACACACACACACACACACACACACACACACACACACACACACACACACACACACACACACACACACACACACACACACACACACACACACACACACACACACACACACACACACACACACACACACACACACACACACACACACACACACACACACACACACACACACACACACACCACACACACACACACACACACACACACACACACACACACACACACACACACACCACACACACACACACACACACACCACACACACACACACACACACACACACACACACACACACACACACACACACACACACACACACACACACACACACACACACACACACACACACACACACACACACACACACACACACACACACACACACACCAAAACAGAGAGCAGTAGGATTATGTATATTCAGCTAAATGAATTAATTCATACTCACCTCCACTACTAGAACCAAGGTACCATTATAACACCTCTGGAGACTATAGGAGGAGTCACCACCACCACCACACCACCACCACCACCACCACCACCACCACCACCACCACCACCACCACCACCACCACCACCACCACCACCACCACCACCACCACCACCACCACC